TCCCCTCCACCCACAGGCCCTCCCTGCTCTCCTCTCCCCACAGCCCCCCCCTTGCACCCTCCTCCCCCGCAGGCCCACCCTGCACCCCTCTCCCCACAGGCCTTCTTTGCACCCTTCTCCCCTGCAGGCCCTCCCTGCGCCCCTCAGGCCTCCCTGCACCCCCATCTCCTGCAGCACAGGGTCATTCCCCTGGGGGCAGCTCAGGCCTGGGCACAGCCCTCACAAGGCATTTGAGGGGTGCGCCTGCCTCCATCACACCGGCCTCCACTCTTGTACTGTCCCACTCCCAAACCTGCGCCACTCGGTCGCAGTGCCTCTGCAGCAGCAGGTCATGGTTGGGGCGTGCCTGGGGATGGCCCCTGTCCATTCAAAAGTGTCCATTCAAGGGGCCCAGGACTGCTAGCCACTAACAGGGATTCTCGACAGGGCACTGAATTTGAGGGAGGGTGGGGGTTGGACACCGATTTGACTCGTGTGGTGGGTGACATTTTGCAGGGCTGTGCGGAAGGAGCCAGGACAATCCCCACTATTTCCAGGGGTGGGGGAAGTATGAAACAACTGCGTAGGAATTTGGCAGGGTTGGGGTGGGGGCTCCAGAGGTGTTAGCTGATGGCTGCGGGTTACCAGGGGGTCCGGGGTACCTGTGGGAGTTCAAGATTAGGGGTGTTAGGCAGTTGGGAGTGAGGGGGCAGGTGCCTGCTGGAGGGGTATTTGGGATAGATGGGGGTGCTGCATGGTTTGAAGTCAGGGCTATTTGGAACACCACAGGTGAAGGGGTAGCAGCTACCTGGGTAGAGGGTCCCCAGAGAGTGATTCTTGGGCAGCCGATGGGGGGTCTGGTGGGACAGACCAGGGGGGAGCTAGCTCAGAGAGTGGCCAGGGAAGCTGGCTGACGGGAGGAGGTTGGCGTAGCTGCACCAAGGGGCTGGGGTGGAAGACAGACCAGGGAACAAAACTGAGGTGGGAGAGGTTAAAGTTGCTCGCTCAGCAGGTTACACAGATGGCCCAATGGAAACACTGAAAACCCAAGAGGGGGACAGTAAAAAACACAGACTTGCACCGGACTTTCAACCAAGGAAAGACATTTAGTTAGAGGCACCAAGTTCATTCACTTGACATGTACAAGAGTATTTGCAGACCCTCCTGGTCTTCATGTTTTGGATCATACAGGAGATATCCTGCCAGATTTTATTGTCACCCACCCAACACTTCTTTAGGCCATGCTAGGAAAAGTGTACTCAGAAGCCAAGAGCTACTTGACCAGAGCAAAATCCCCTCCAACTAGGAGTCAGTATGGATTATGGCCCCCTTCCCGCAGGCCCCACATTACACCAGCCTGGCACCTGCCCGCCATCCAGCTGTACTTCTTGATTGGCTAAGAGATGCAGGACTCTGCTCTTTAGCTTTGCTGTCGGGGGTGGGGGTGTGTGTGTGTGTGTGTGTGCGTGTCCTCTCTTCTGCCCCATCTTCCTCCATACTCACTGCCCCCTTTGCTCCATTCTCCTATTCACTGCTCCCCTCCTCTCCATCCCCCCGTGCTACCCCTTCCATGTTTTCCCACTCCATCCATCTGCCCACTCCAGACTCTGTCGCTGTCCTTTTTAAGCTCTCCTCTATGTGAGTCTAATTCCGGGGGAAGCTGAGGAGATGGGGCCCCCTGGACTGGAAAGGAGGGAGGCACCATGGGCACGAACTTGGGGGGGGGGGTGTAGGCCAGCAAGGTGACCATCTGTGGGATTCATTGAGTGTTTCATTCATCTCTAACAAGAGTATTAGTAATGATAGCACCTTGGCCACTCCCTGCCTTAATTTCCCCATCTGTCAAATGGGCACATGACAGTACTGAGTAGTCCTACTGCAGTCAACAGGACCGGCAAGCACTCAGTACCTTGTAGTGTCAGGCTGAGTGCGTGTATCTGCCTGCTCCATCCCACCCAGCATAACTCTTCCTTCCCAACAGGGAAGGGAGGAATCCCAGCCCCAGCCTCTAGGGTAGGAGTGTTGGTCATGGTGTTTCACCACCACCAGGCTCTGCTCCTCTGGCACAGTTGGCAGGAAAATGAGCTGGGAAACCAGTGAAATCTCCGAATATCTCCAAGCCACTGATGAGTGGGGACCCCAAAGTGAGAGCCCCATGGGACCAAGCTCATATTTATCATTGGAGATTTTAAACTAGAGTCCCAGGCTATATTCTTCAGCAGTGACGAGTGATGGTGGAGAGGGGGGCAGCTCTCAGTTTCACACTGGGGTCGGTTTCAAGGGGTCTGATTTTAACTCATTCTCAGATAGCCACCTTCTGGAAATCAGGCTCCTTTCAGGCATCTGCAGCAGGGCTCCCACAATTTAGGCCCGGTTCAAATAGTTTTAACATTTGGAAAGCACTTGGGGATCTACTGATGAAAAGTGCCATGTTAAAGCCAGGTGGTAAGACGGTGGCATGAAACTGCCGGCAGTTTTAAAAGCAATACAGCACTGGCTGCGGGTGAGACGATTAAGGAAATGAATGCGTCGTTTCAGGCTGCGATTTTCCAAGCAGCCTCAGGGAACGTGATGTCCCGGAGTTGGATGTCAAAGTCCTATAGGGAGACAGGGCAGGTGAGGCCCGACTCTCTTAGGGAAGGAGAGAAGCCGTCTCCAAAGCTTGACCTGAAGAAGAGCTTGAAAGTTTCTCTCTTTCACCAAGGCAAGTTGGTTCAATAAGAGATTACCTCACCAACCTTGTCGCCCTTGTGTCTAGGGACCAACACGACTACATAAAATCAGAGAACACTAGCACTGGAAGGGACCTCAAGAGATCATCAAATTGGGTCCCCTGCTCTCATGACAGGACCAAGCACCATCTAGAACTGGGGTGGGCAACACAGCCTCTGCAGGTTGGATCTGGCCTGCCAAGCTGTGGATCCAGCCCCCTGGCTTCCTTGCCACTCCCTCGCCCCCAGGCCAATTGAGACCTGGGAACGCGTGTGGCACCAGAGGGGACCGCCAGCTGTTTTAAAACAGCCAGTGGATCTCTCTAGCTGCTGCATGCCCCTGGCAGGGTGGGGGCGAGAAATTTTGTGAGGAGTGCGGGGGAGTGAGTGAAGTCTCCTCCTGCCGCGACACCTAGAGGGAACTAAAACAGCTGGGCTGTGTCTAGACAGGCAAGTTTTTCCACAAAATTATCTGGTTTGGCGGAAAAACTTGCCAGCTGTCTACACTGGCCGCTTGAATTTCCGCAAGAACACTGACGATCTCATGTAAGATCGTCAGTGTTCTTGTGGAAATACTATGCTGCTCCCGTTCGGGCAAAAGCCAGTGTAGACAGCACGGTACTGTTTTGCACAAAAAAGCCCCGATGGCTAAAATGGCGATCGGGGCTTTTTTGCGCAAAAGCGCATCTAGATTGGCACGGATGCTTTTCAGCAAAAAGTGCTTTTGCGGAAAAGTGTCCGTGCCAATCTAGGTGCTCTTTTCCGAAAATGCTTTTAACGGAAAACTTTTCCATTAAAAGCATTTCCGGAAAATCATGCCAGTGTAGACGGAGCCCTGGCGATTCTCTCTAGGCGGTGGGGGCAGGAGGCAAAGACTTCATGCATTCCCCCACCCCCAAGCCAATCAGGATCTGAGAGTTGGGGAGCATGGGAAGTCTCATGGCCCCGCCTCTTCTGCCCGAGGCCCCTCCCCCTCTGCTGTGGGCCTGGGGTAACTTCAGAAATGTATGAAGCAGCCCCCTTTTTAAAATTATCACCCACCCCTGCACTAGATTATCCCTGATAGAGGTCTATCCCCAACACTGCACACTCCTGAAGGCTGAATTGGAAAGCCAGCTCCCCTGCACGTCACATGAAGCCAGGGCCTGGCAGCTGCCCCCAGCCCAAGGGCTCCTGCCTAGTCTCTCTCATACACAAAGGGGTATGTATGAAGCAGCCCCCTTTTTAAAATTATCACCCACCCCTGCACTAGATTATCCCTGATAGAGGTCTATCCCCAACACTGCACACTCCTGAAGGCTGAATTGGAAAGCCAGCTCCCCTGCACGTCACATGAAGCCAGGGCCTGGCAGCTGCCCCCAGCCCAAGGGCTCCTGCCTAGTCTCTCTCATACACAAAGGGGTTTGTGTGCAGCCGCCGGTGCTCGGCCAGGTAGTACTTCTGGGTGAAGCGCTTCCCGCACTCGGGGCACGGGTAGGGCCGCTCGCCCGTGTGCACGCGCTGGTGCTTCAGCAGGTGGTGCTTGCGGACGAAGCGCTTTCTAGCATTCTAGAGACATCAGACTTCTTACACCTGAGGCTAGGCCTGAGGCTGCTTGGTATGCTCTGCATTGTGTATTGTGTGTGTATGTGCACCTGAGACCAGATCCACTCAGACAAACCACCAGAAACAGGCTTTATTCTGTAAAAAACATAAAACAGGATCACAGGTCAGCAGCCCTTTCTCTCAGCATGCAGCCTCTGTGCTGCTTCTAACACAGTTC